ATGCAAATATGCTTGAACTAGAGTAAAAGGACGCTAAGTGTGTGGTTGACAGGTGCTCTGAAGTGGTTTGCTCCTTCTTTCCTATCTAACATCTATCATCCTGATCTCTCCTCCTTCTTTTTTGTGTCTCTTACTCTCTTGTAAAACCTCTAATATTCGGCACCTATATGACCTTATTGTGTTGCAAATGCCGTAAAACTCTTACTAAAACTAAAAGGGAGACTAAAAGTATAAGAAGTATATCAAGGTAAGAAGTAAAAGGGCTTGGGGGTTTTTTTGGCTTCGAAAAAGTTAGACGTAAGCCGTGTGGTGCCACAAGGAAGAAATCATGTGAAACGAAAGTAGTAGTTAAATTATGTTAAAAACCGAAAATAAACTCACATGTTCAACAGAAACGAATGGTTATGTTACAAATCAACATACTGCTGGTACATTATAGAACTAACTGAGTGAAATATCAAGCCAAGTTTACTTTTATTTACTTATTGTTGCACTACAAGACGCTATGGCTTAGAGGCTAGCATTGATCTGAAGGCTGCTGCCATTTTCACTATAATTACAGCTTGTGTTTTTTGTTCCATCATCTGAGCAATGTGACCATCCTTTGTTGATGAGTCAGCTGAGTGAGCATTTTGTTTTTAGCTTCACCGAGCCACGGTTTCAATCGTATTTCAAAATTCACAAGCGTTCTCGAGGATGTTAAGAAAAAGGTGTGTAGGGGGGTAGATATTTCTTCCCCAATCTATTGATGAGTTGCAATTTAAAGCCTGCCTTTGTGCACGAGCATTGTTACATACAAAGCATACTTTGTTGTGGGGAATGTTGGACAAGTTTCTTAGGGGGATGGGTTGAAACGAAAGCTGCCATTCCCTCTACTTGAAAGTCGTGAAAGACCAGGCCACCCTCGTCACTGACAGCAAATTAGGCCCCTATGGCATCGTGCGGTTCGGTCCCTTTCGACCCTGTATTACTCAAACAAAGCATTGACCATTCCGTGCTCTTCATCTTCATCGGTTTCTATTCGTCAACGGCTTGCTATCAGCTTCCTCAATAAAGGCAAATTCATACAGCTAAATGTTCTGCATCAGCCATGCTGCATATTGATGTCTAGTTGCTTCAGTCCTATCTGAATTTCTTTCCGCGGAGCATCCTCGGGATTTTTTAAATGGTGATCAATGCACTTTAAAATTAAACTGCTTATGGTTGTCGTCAACTCAGTTTGAGCACATTAAAATGCTTTTCACGTTGAATAATCCTTGTGGAGGACATTTGTTTTTGCTATGTGGCATTTGAACTTGCTATTGTGTTACATTAAACTGGATTTGTTGTACATTTGAGCTTGTTACGCAACATCGTGCACCTACATTTCCTATTCAACATTTAAACTTTCTATGTGGCGTAAAACTTTATATGTGGGATTTGAACTTGCTAGGTGGTATTTGTATTTCTTATGTGTACATTTGATCTGAAAAAATATAAAATATACAAAATACGACAATATGCATGATTGAGACTGTCTGCCTGTGTATCTGTCTGCCTGTCTGTCTCTCTTTCTATTTGTGATATATATATATATATATATATATATATATATATATACTAGGCTGGATAAAAAAGAAGTTGTGAAATATCTCAACAACGTTATACCACTTTCTTGAACTAATAGCCCCTTTAATTGTGTATACTATAGGACTATTGCTTCCATGACTGATTTTCTGCCATTTGATGGTAACTTTCATTACTTTCGGATTCCCCATCGTAGATTATCTACTTGAATTATTCCTTCGTCAAAAGGTTTTCCTTCTAATTTATTTTTTTTTCATTTTGCCGTAATTTCTCAGCTGACTGAAACTCCTTGAAATCGCCTCATTTTGCTTTTTACTATATTGTAATAGAAATACAATTCAGACACTTGTTCCACTGGGATTTCCTCCTGAATATGTTTTGTTTCACTTTGTATTTAAACTGAGCCTTCCCATTTCCGTATAACTTCTGAAAAACCCAATATATTTAATTTCATCCTGCATTATACGTGTATGTTTACAGGACTTAATTAATATCACATTGAAATTTAAATTTATTCAATGGCAAACCAGGTGCGTGTGGATACATATCAAAATAAAACAAAAATGTAGTTCTTCTTCAAACACATTCATACTCGTATTACATACTCTGCCCACATCTCCACCCAGTAGTACGTATGTTAATTTTGTACCGGTATCCACTTGAAACGACGTCCAACCCTGTAGATGGCTTAATAGTTCGAACCCTAGTTTTATGATAGGTTTTGATCTAGAGATAGCTCCAGTGTTGTTGTTTTATTTTATTTTATTTTTTGGTTGTTGTGAGTTTCTTTTCTGAAAGCTTCACAATGCTTTGAACAAGACACAAACATAAATCTCCAATCTGGCGCATTTTCATTTCTGGCACAATCTGCTTCAATTTCCTACGTAGCTGTTAATGCAGACATGACCAATACGATTCGTTTCACACCCCCCCCCCCCCCCCCAACCAATCCCAGCCTTGACGTGTTTTTTTCAAAATTGTAAGACTAAGTTTCGAAAGTCCGTTTGGATTTCATTTTCATCATTAAAAAACCTCCTTTCAGTTACGTTTTTATTGCCATTTTTACACGTAGAGAATACGCCCCACATTTGCCAAAGCACATTAAAGTTGTTATACGCACTCATGTCAAATAAATCGTTTACACGAACACGCTTTAGATGTTTCTAATTCTCTCTGCTAACATAATATGTATGTAGTAATGAGCATGGCGAGACTGAAAAGTAAAAATTCTGGACAGTTAGATTAGTAACAGCTCAAGTGAAAAAGATTAGTTAAATCAGTATAACAGCTCAAGTGAGAAATATCAGCTTGATCAATAATAGCTCAAACGAGAAAGATGCAGCATGAACTCCGTTTCTTGTCTTGTGCTATGTGAATAAAGCAGCTGTTTTTTCTTTCTTTTTACTGATGCACGGTGTGAAGCTCTTATTAATGCCCCCCCCCCCCTCCCCCAGATAAATATGAAATAAGAGAAACGAACGACCCCCCCCCCCCCCAAAAAAAAAGATTACATTAAAAAGAAACAAGCTAACCAAAAAGAAAACAAAAAGAAAATCAAGAAATCAGCACAAACCAGAACACAACATAGATCTAGACCTTGCCAAAGAATGACTATAATTAATTTTGTACAAATATTTCACTATTGAATAAATACTTAGATCTAGCAAGAAAATATCCGAGATAAAGAGTTGATGTCTCTCATTGATTCATTGAAAAAATGATACTTTAGTAGATTATGATGGTTATGATGATGATGATGATGATGATGATGATGATGATGATGATGATGATGATGATGATGATGATGATGATGACGACGACGACGACGGCGATGATAGTGGTGATGATGGTGATTACTAACCGATGCATATGCTGCACATCAGAATGAAAAACGGAAAATAGATGTTCGACATCTTCCCCTACTATGTTTACACAACAGCTTCTAGATAAAAGCAGAAACGTGCGGTAGCACAGGAGACAATGTCGAAGAATGGCAGAGAATCAAGCACGAAACAGAAACGAGCACCTCCCAGCATATTATCCCGAACCACATCAGCTGACATTTAACTGGATGGTATAAATTTGGGTCATAACACGGTGGAACCAGGCGCTCGTCAACTTTTGGGCATGTGGAGGCATTGGTGAATAATCTCAAAGCCTGCTCATTTGTCTTGCTTTTGATTTTTAAAATGTGTACCGCCGGTATTCATCTCGAATAGAAGTCGAGATATGTGCGACTGAATGAGTTTGTTTTGCTGTTTGCATTTTATTTTGTTGCCGTTTTTATTTTCTTGTTTTTGTTTGTTGGTTTGTATTTGGGGTTTTTTGTTTGGTTTTTGTTGTTATTGTTGCTGTTTTTTCGGGGTGGGGAGGGGGGGGGGCTCTTGGCGTCATAAAAAAATTAGAGAGAATATGGCTCCCATTGTTTACTGACTTCCAGAGCTTGAATGTCCTTGGAATCGACAGATTAAAATTCCATGTGCCTTTGGTTGTTTTTTCTCAGTAAAATCCACACAGAATGTGTTTCGAAATGAACATGTCTGATATAGAGTAAAAACAAAAATCGAGGAAAATTGACCTAGGGTGGACCAATAAATTCCGATTTTTTTTCAGATTCATTACTTTGACAAACGTCTTATTTCACCACGATGCAACACATGTTGCAGAAAATTAGAACACTGCCACATCTCGTTCGTCAAATGGAACACGCAACTACGTTCAAACCAACAAGTTTAAAGGAAATGTTGGCCCCGTCAAGACAGCTGTGGCCAACTGACACCACTAAATTAAGAATACCCAAGCTGAAATCCAAACATTTCGTTAAAAAAAATCTTCAGCATTTCGCTGCTCAAGAAGTAGCCTACAAAACTATGCTTGCTCAGTACCAACTTTTGTGAACATTGACGTTAAAAATTTTGAGTTTCACATTATGTCTAGATCTAGATCTAGCTTTTTCGAATGCAATTCTTTGAATATCTTAATAACGACTCCAAATAATGTTTTTATTTTGATGGAACAGACCGAACTTTCGGTTCTGACCACATGGTCCTAATAACCCAAAACTGTTAAAATTGCCAGTGAGAACTTTGTAATTCTAAAGTAGCAATTTCCTGGCCGTAAAACCTAATGCATACTCCCACAAAAATCTAGAGAAATAAAACATACTGAGTCTTTTAAAACCCATTTGAGAACACATAATATTTTAAGAAAATCTCGAATAGTCATTCTTCTTCACGACAGCGAATGTGTAAAACTGAGTTTGTGTTTGTTCAATGGTTTTTTTGGTGTTTTTTTTTTTTTTTTTTTTTTTTTTGGGGGGGGGGGGGGGTAAGTGTTTTACGGCGCTCGCAACTGCATAAGGGCATATGAGCGCGCGGGACACATTAAACTTTTTCAGTTGGTAGGACTATTGCTTCCATGACTGATTTTCTGCC